TAAATTATCGTAGCGCGATATCCGTGCGATCATTGGCATCGAATTTACTGGCGCTATTTACTAAGCTAGCTTAGGGAAAAATAAATTTATGTTGCACCATGCCAGCGACGCCAGCATTTTCAAACGGCTGTCCTGCTTAAATCTACTCACACAAGGTTATCGCATTCAGCCAAATTTTCAGATGGGTAACAAATTCCGACATAGATATCTGTAAGCATTCCAACGGTTTTATGTTCGTTCCTAAACGCTGCTTCCCAAGACGGCTGTAAGAAAATCACTGTTCTCTTATTCTTGATGTGCATATCAATAGCAGACAGTCTACAATCGGACACCTGCCAGCCAGAGCAGATATCTATTAACCCGCAAACAAACGAAATGTGCTTGTTCACCTTACCAACTAGTGCAGTCGAGCGACTGCGCAGAAACCCGACTCGTTGTCCATTCCGCCATCCTCGTGAATTGTGGAAAATTGGACGGCTGGTTATTTAAGCAACTTGCGCACAACCACAATGGTTCAATGCTTAGTGAATATGAACTAACCAAAATGCAAATTTGGCCTAGTTGTAAGAGTAGCCATGATAGGATCAACGTGTAGTAACTCTTCTAAGGCATTTCACTCTAAATGTATATGGATACGTTCATTGGAAACTATGCAGTGCTTTAGAAAAATGGAGGTGGTTTCGTGCTGGTAGGTTAGAAAATCCAGCCTGGTCATTGTTCGTTTCGTAGTACAGATGAAAACGAGTAAATCTAACGGAAGCAGTTGAGAAACTGGTGAATGCCAATTACATACCTGTGTAAGTACACTAAATTACGCTGGCATCTCTGCGGACTGCTTCTTCAGACCAGGTGAATCAGTGTGTAGTTGGAGTGGCATAGTCTAGAGAACAGGAAAGATAACCGCATTACTCAAGACTTGAGCCAAAGTAACATCACAGTCACAGCTCGTGGTGTCATCTTAGATGGTTCAACCAAATTGGGAATACTCCAAGTATTCCTTTTTACGTTATAGCATTGACGATTAAGCCCAAACTGGTCCCAATGGGAGTAGAAATGCACTTTCTTTCTGACCCACGAACCGACGCTCGTCGAGATGGCCGGCTTAACATCGCAGCCAAACAGTAGAAGGTTTACTCCCTATATTCTATTCACACAGCTGTCTGATTTGATAATTCTCAACTGCTCTGAAATCAACCGCTTCCCACTTAAAGACCTCCACGTTTTCGAAGTCCATCTGGTGACCAACTTCTAATGCATGTACAACCATGGACGAGTCTCTTAATATTGCCTGGTATTCAAACGCATTTGCCGGTGGTATTTAAGTGCGCCTCCTGTGTTCTGAAATTTGTGTGCGTAAGTCTTTCGCTGTTTGGCCTACATAGACACGTGTACAGTCCTTATATGTAATTTATAAAGACATTCATCCTATCATTGGGACGGCGGTCTTTCATGCTAACCAGCGCTGAACCTAGTGTTTGACTTAGATAGTGGGTCCCCCTTATATTTTCCTTGGGTAGTACTATCCGAATTGCTTCCGAAGTGCCTTCCTTGTACGAAATTCTTACCGTACTTATCCACTCCCCTGTTTTTCTTGACTGTCGGTTTTGCAAATTAGGTAGTTATCGTTTGTCCAGCCGCCATGCGTAACTACTTTCTAATTGTTTGCCCACTGACACTTACCGCGCTGTCTTTTTGGGCTCCTCCATCGTGCACAGGGTCTGTGCCTTGCAAAAGAGTGCGGACGCTAACCCAGCGTAAACCAGTTTCGGATGACCCTAGGTGTAGTGGAGTTCGCCATCAGGATCTGTTGGCTTGTGAAATATGGTTTTCTAGGCAATTAAGCAATGGTATTGTACTGACACCAGATTACAGCTTAGAAGTAAACTATAGCCTCTTTAATAAGGTTTAAGTGGTCAAATAACTCGTCCTTCTTATCCCGTTTAATTAGTACAAAGTGCGGTCTACATAGTGCCAGCAAAATGTCGGTAAATTAATGGTGGTCGTTAATGCACTTTTCTCGAAGTCCTCCATACACAAGTTCGCTAGTTGAGGGGATATTGGCAATCCCTTAGTGAGACCTTGTTTCTGACTAAACAGTTTTGACGAAAACAGGTAATTCATGTTAAGACACACTGTCATACCCTAGATTATATGGTTGACCGTAAGCTTTTTTGATCACTCAGAGTGACGTCTTCATTTTGACAACACCTTACTGTTTTTATCGCTTCACCTTTGGGTACATTAGTGAAAAGTGACGTCACAGCGAAGCTTACCGTCAAACCATCTGGCAAGATTTCGAGACTTGCCATATCAAGAGCGAAGTAATTTTTCACATAAGCACTGGTTCGTCCAGTCAGAGGCTGCAAAAGTCTTGTCAAATATCTAGCAAGTTGATGGGTCGAGGAACCTATACCGTCTACATTGTTAATACTTAGTTATTTTGCTCCATGTTTCTGCAAGCCTTTTGTTCAGGTGCATTTACTGTGTACAGTATTTCGTAGAATATTCAGACAGACCTTAGGTTATTATAGAGTAGGCTTCCTGACCACACTTATTAATGCCACCAACTGATCATTTCTAGCTGAGCGCTCAACTGATGACGCCTGGTTGATTTTTTGTTTTTAAGTTCATCAACTTAGTGAACTTTATTTTGTGCAGCGATCCTGGTACGCAATGAGAGTATTATCTATTAATACGAAGCAAAATGCGGATTTGTTTGGTGACTAGAAATTCGCTGGGGCGAAACTGTAAGTTTTCACAGGTTGCTACATACGGACAGACTTCCCAACCCGGCGAAGGCACTACGGAATATGATACGGAAGGATAAACGAAAGTATCAACCGGATCTAACTGGGAAGTTCTGTTTTAACTCTAATCTCGCGTACGGATATGTTAAAACGCGTAAAGCGCAATGAGGGATTTTAACAGTCCACAAGCCAAGCGGACCAGTGCAAACCGTAACGGAAGCGGCCAACGCCATATATCAACAATTCTGTCCAAATTTCCGGAACATTTCGTTACGTTTAGTACTGTCAGGACTTAGCCACATCTTGTTTAAGACTGCAGATAGTCTAAAAATACCACTTTCCCTACGCGGCCAAACCTAACCTGGTGCTGATTTTATCCGCACAAAGGTGCTGACTTTAGCTGCAATGTACTTGTTGGATCTACTCTGTTAGTGCTTCGGTTGAACTTTTTGCGAGATGCGGTCTCGAAGCACGGAATAATCCCCTCATCCATAAACAGGGAAGGCGCGCATATTGGCCCAGATTTTGCTCGGCGACATACCCTTCGATGTTATCCAGAGTCATGAAGTCTAGTACTGCCTAAGCGCACATGAATTACTTGGAGAGATGCAATATCATGACACCAGAACAAAGTGGATTTCGCCAGAACCAGTCTTGCGTCATTAACTTTCGACTTTATTGCTCGCATTGGACTGAAAACGTCGACAGTGGTGTGGGGGTTGACGCAGCTTATCTGGACGTCTTGAAGCAGTTGGGACGTTTGAATACTGTACACCGACTTACAAGCTTGAATGCCGTAGAATGATTTACCCATTTCTCGAATAGGTTGGTAAGTGCTTGAGGCACCGACATTTGAATGTAATGGTTTTCCGTGCCACCTCTGACACTATAGAGTTTTACTCACATCAGTCCAATAAAGTACCATATACTTTGGCATTCATTTCGAGCTGATTATTGAACTATAACTCCTCCACATTTTGCTTTGTGTGTACATAATAAATTACCAGTGCAAAATCTTTATGTGACAGTGCAGTTAAACAGGTAGAAACTTATGTTGATGGTTTACTTATCTTTTGAGTACTTCTAGTTCTTAAGAAAATCATTGTACGTAGCTTGTCAGGCAACTGAATTTTACCCGTGATAACTCCTTGTTAACTGTTCATCAATCCATATAGTTGTGTGACTAGCTACAAGAACAAATTGGTACGGCAAAAGTTTAATTCCATAAATTACTCCTTAAAATGTTCATAGCATTATACTTGTTTTTTCATCCTTTTCGTTACTGAAATGCAATTACTATGTAATACGCACCTGACAACCTATGCTTGAAAGCAAATTTAGTAGTCTGACATTAACCAGCCACATAAAATTATGAGTAGTTTATTTTTACCTTTAGCTGAAGTTTATTGGTAGCATGTAACACTCCAGCGTGCAACGTTTTGTCCCTTTCCTCAGTGTTACGTTCACATCTAATATTATGAGATGGCGCAATTACAATGATCGTCCATTATTTTCAAGTTTTTGGTGTGAAATATAAAATTCGTGCTCACTCGGGATTTAGAAAAATCCATGGGGGTTATTTAAACTGCTTAATTAGCTTATGTCATAGAGCATTTTATGTACAAATGTAAAATTTACTTGCCACTTACGCAGATTGAACTGAAGCCACGGAGAGGAAACTTGAGTAAGATTTATACTAGGAGGATCTATTAAATAAACAAATAGATGGATTAACTCGAACTAAAATATGCCTCACTTAATCCGGCAAATCGTTGCCGGATGTAAGGCAATATGTTTGATTCTATGAGCTTTTACTGACAAGTGACGTCTATAGTCTGATGAATGGAAGCGCTTGTTGCTGGTAGATGAACGGGCGGAGCATGAGTAATAAAAACAACTTTAATTGATAGTGATGAAATTATGTTGCCAACACTATACTCAGTACCTTGAGTTATTAAGATTGATGTATAATCCAGAATCAATTTTTCTTTGCCATAGGTTCATAACGCACAGTTTGACACTCCTGAACGTTTTTACATCCGAAAAGCGACGGACTTTATTCTGTACAAACTCAACGATTCCTTTGAAAGATTGTAGTATACACCCATCTAATCATCAGAAATGCACCCAGAAGGAAAGTAAGTACGGTATCGTTTAATTGTGCAAATTTAAGCAACTAAAGTAAAGAATAGCGTTAGATGGCTTGATAGGCAGCATAAAATGAACGTCTTAAACGCTGCAAACCTATTGCTATTATCTTTTCAAAAATGCTAGTACTTCATTGTCATGGTTAATCTGCCAATCCGTAACCTGTAAACATAGAATGCAGGACCATTTGCTGTCCTTATGCAATCCATAGTAACCGAGCTCTTTATGGAGATGCTTCAAGTATGCAGCCATTACAAACAACTATGCGAGTCTAGACACATCAGCACATGATAATAGAATCAAAGAAAAGACTTATCACGCCAGTATTTTAACATTATCCATAACAATCAGGTTCATGGCTCAAATCTGCAACCTTATTAATAATTTATGTTTTGCAATGAAAAGCGCGCACAAAACTAGGGTGGCTACCATACATCCAGTTGCTTTAATTATGGTTTGCCTCGGATGTCAATTTGAACTTTTAGGTGGCCAAAATGTTGACATGTCAGGAATCACAACTAAGGCTCGCGGGAAGCCGAAACGGCTATGTGGAATTTGGCATTCCTAAGCCTACTTCATTGCAACTATAAAGTAAACCTGCATCCGAAGGATTCAGTCCTAATTTATACCAGCGAAATATTATTCAACGGTGTTTGAAAGAATTCCCATTTCTTATGCGCACAAACTGGTTTGATATATACTAATGTGTATACTAATACATACAATTACACTAATGACTGCACAAGTACGATGAATATAATCAGAAGGTATGACAGAGGCGGCGTTAAGTTGAAATCAAACTTTCTGAAGTGAAAAACGGTTCCTTTACTTGTGCACAACTTATCGTGCCACTCAAGCATCCCATAGAAAATATTGAACATAATACTAATATGACCATTAAGATTAGCAGCTTTTCTGTTTGGTGCGCAAAGGTTTTATCTTTATTTTCCCATTAGAAATCAAGCTTGAGAATAAGAACCTTGCGATTTTCATTCTTTTGTTCACCGGTTTCAGTGTTTCTTGACATTGGCTCACACGTACAGAATGATTCCTATATTATACTGAAAAAGTACACAAAATATGCCGTTGTGGGGGCTGTTCATGGCTTTCCATAAACTGAAATTACTTCGAGAAAAATCTCTACCTACTGCAACAATTCACGTTATGCAAACTGAAACTAATCCCTTTATGTTTATTTTACAATAGCTTTTCACAAGTTTATCATACATGCATATCCGCTTAATGAAGACTGGTTCCTTGAACTGCTTTTTGCAAAATATTAACTGTCCTATGCAATCTTTCTTACCCATTGATTCAATGCCAAATATAACATAGAGTTTATGATCTCTTATACAAAGAAACGACTAACCATTGCACAAGTTCGTACTCCAAATTGAGAGTGAGCTATTTCCCAAATATAATAATATAAGCCCGCTCAAAAATATATTAGATCAATTTTGTGTAAAAAAACTACTTCGGTCAGCTATATGGTATTTCAATAGATGGAGTGCGTCACTCATAATAATTCTAATGTCAATAATATTAATATACATTCTCGGTTTCAAGATGCCGAGATGTTACAGATCGTAACTGATAGATTTTTAGATGTGGGGGAGGAAGGGTTGAAACTGAGGCCAAGTACCCGTCTTGGAACTTGAGTTGCTCAGCAAAGTCAACCAATATGAATCATATTTGTGGACGAACTTAGTCCGAGGCTGCCCTTCTCCTGACTAAATAATTTTAAAGATTTCAAGCTCCATGTTCGTCCGGTGGATCAGGGAAAATTCAAGTCTGCAAGTATTGAACTGAAGAGACGAAATAATAATGGAAAAAGAAAACTCACCATCGTACCTTTTCGGGCGGGTTACAAGTTTCCACGAAGCAGGCAAAGTGGCTACGCATATTTCAAGCACGCCCGGTGGTTCCTGCTGTGGGCTGCGTATAGCCTTTAGCAACATTTGAAAAACGCCATTAAATCTGTTGTTTCGTTGCATTTGTGCGACAGACGTAGTGGGACTCGTAGAAACTTGGCTGAATACTGGAGTGCTTTTCCAGAAAATCGGACTCACCGGCTACTCATGCTCCCCCTGCGATAACGTATGGACCGCCCGCTTGCGCGTCTTGTAATAAATAAGGTCCTCCCAGCGTGGGCGACTTGTGAGCGTCTACAGAAGAGATGATGGTCTGCGCAAGCAGCTTTGGTGGTCGATCCGCCGCAGACAGGAAGAGCTGCTGGTGGGTGCTTTTTCACGCAACCTTCTTATAGGTTGTTTGGATAGGCTGCTGCAGCTCCGTAGCCATACGGGTCGCCCCCATTTTCTACCCATGGGTGTTTACAATTTTCATCGTATACGCTGGCTTGAAGTTCAATTCATGCCAGGACATTTTATTCGAAACAAAGTTATTGGCCTTTGAACATGAAAGCTGAGCAGCGCAAAACAAATACAAGCCAACTCGAAAACATCGCACTCAACTACGTCCTGCCTAGGCTTGATGTTAACAAGTTGTGAACAGCATCGAGCGATCACTGAATGCTCATAGCCAGTAAGGACCTATCTTTGACATATTCCCTTCCGCTGGAGCCAGCTTAGATTTGCTGGAAAACTAACTTCGATGATGTAACTCAAGCTCTATGCCATAAGCTGCGTCTGTGTAAGACTGTTTGCCTGTTGCTACTGTGAGTGTGACATGGCTTTGTTCTCAGTCTGTGCCATTGGTTTTGCTGGCACGTTGGACCAGTCAAATCGCATTGGTTTACCAAGGAGTATGGTGAAATGCCTATGCAGCAGCGCAACCTACGAGAATTTCCGCCTCTCAAGCTCTTCTGATGATTACGAGGCTTATAGGAGAGAGCGAAATATTTACAATAACGCAAAAAACAAACAAGCGCCGGTATTTTGAACAGCAGCTAGCAACCTCCGTATAGACCGCTCCGAAAAGAATATTTACATACGTTAATCGGGGTCTTAGGTCAGCAGTTGACCCCCAGTGCTAGAGGATTCAGATGCACAGCCCCTAACCTACAGCACTTAGTGTGCGTCCGCCTTGGCAGTGCACCTCGCTTCCGTGTTCGTAAATGATTAGGTGTCTGTACCGAGTTTCACATGTACCACACTTACTGAACGCGACTGTAGGTTTTCGGTGTCGAAGAGGTAAATCAACTACTCGCCAACGTTGACGACCGCAAACCATTTGGGTTTGACAGAACACCCACTGCTTTTGGAATCCCTATCGGCCATCATCTCAGATCAGTGACTGAGTTGTTTAACGATCACTATCCAAACGTTTATGGCGGAGCGACTGAAAATGTTCAAAGGTAAAGCGGAATACCAAAGGTGGAGACTCCAGTAAATTTGACGACTACAGACCGATAGTCCTGACAATTATTTTCGCCAAGGCTGCCTAGATGATGGTGAAGAAGGGTTTAATACAGTCGCAACAATCATTTGATCTACTGACGCCCCACATCACGATTTAATTTTAGATTGTTCATTCATTACCAACCTGCTGATGACAAGGTATGAATAGTTGCAGGCACTAAATCAGGGTAAATCTGTTGACGTAATAAAAATTGATTTCAGTGACGCTTTCGACAAGATAAACTGCGATGTACTCTACAAGCTGAGTACGCGGTATTGGTAGATCACTGGACCAGGGGTTAGAGAAAAATCTCGTTGGACGGTACGGTTAGACAGCAATTTAACTGGCTGGAATCCCTCTACTAGTGGAGTACCCTTAGGCACGGCGCTGGGACCCAGTCTATTCGTAACCAACGTCAGCAAAATACTTCAACTTTTTTAATTGCTGAGTGCATTGTTTGTAAATGACCTGAAACTTTGGAGAGTGATTCTACCACCAGAAGACAGCAGTCTTCCTCAGCAAGCCTTCCATCTCTTCTCCATATGGTCTGCGGAAGTCCACCTCCACATCAACCCACCCAAATCAGTACTTATACACTTGCTGAAGGGTAGTGAAGACTGAATTAACGTCACCGACCGTCAGCCACTACATCCCGCACATTTCGTGATGGACATAGATGTACTCTCGTGCTGCGATTTAAAGTCCGTCGACAAAACGAACATCGTAACTGACTGTACATTCTTTAGGCGATCAAATGCAGCTTCTATACTTGAACTGAGGAGGATGCGACTCGTCTCTTCTCTTCCATCATAACACCAATACTGGAGTAAGTCTCACCTGTCTACTGTCCAATCCCTGAAGGCGAACAGCAGATTATCAAACAGGCCCAACATGTAGCTACCAGGCTCATTCCAAGTTTATGATAATTATAGCACCAAGACAGGTGCGAGGAACCAGGAATCTACAGCATGTCCTATCGTCGGGTGTGAGTCGACCTCAGCATGACCCACCGTATTTCATATTTCAGTGCATTCACCATTTTGTGGCCGCTGCCCCACCTGTGAACGCTATGTAAAATATGCGGACACAGATACAAACTTGTGGTGCTGGATATGCAAATTAGCTCATTCCTGTGCCTTGAAAGTAGAGTGGGAAATGTTTGAAACACTTTTCCAAAACAACTCGCGCAGAATAAATCTATACCAAGTGTAAATTTTCGGTGGCTTTGCATTTCAGCACTATTCGTTTGGGTGAACAACTGCAAACTAGCAATGACATCTTGGATTTGTTAATCGAGTGAAACCGTACGTCAGACATTTTATAGTGCCTTATAATTACTTGAAGAAAGATTAGATTAGCAAACAATGCAGACAGATTTTCCAACATTTATGATTACAGTACGATTGGGTTTTCTAGATTTACATTCCTATTCCCTCAAATATACAGTGTATACAATCAAAGGGACATGCCCTTTCCGGCTTGATCAGGCTTTCACTATCATGTAACAAACTTGATATCACAAGAGGGAATAAATGCAATTAAATGGAGCAACGGTTGCATTCGATATTAAACAGAAGGTCGAATACCTGCTCACCAAATCCGTTTTAAGCGAAGAATGATAAATATTCGGAACAACCTTATTGCAGATAATAAACAAAGCAAAGTCGGTGCCGGAATTTAAGCAAGTCCAAGATTTGCACTTTGCCTAGCTGAACGTTTGAGAATAATCAAAATAATCATAGGCACGATTGCACGAAAAACATTAGATGAAGCAACAAAAGGCAGCTCTAATAGCTTTCATT